GGTGTCAAATTTGCACTAGTGTTCTTAAAATGAACGACATGGCCTGGGTTATCAACTGAGACTGCTAGAACATGAACTATATGGCAGAATGCAGGTAAAACAGAGCAGGAGACATAGAATTCTCCCCCAAGGAGTTCAGTCACAAATTTAATTAACACTTTTTTTTTTTAACTAGCATCATCAGCCCGGAAGCATGTCCTCTGAATGGTGGCCGAAGCATGAAGGGGCATACAAATGTTTATATCTGGCACGTAAATACCTTGCCAGATGTGCTACAAAAGTGCTCTGCAAATGCCTGTTCTCACTATCTGGTGAGATTGTAAGTAAGAAGAGGGAAGCATTATCTCCTGTAAATGTAAACAAACTTGTTTGTCTTAGTGATTGGCTGAAGCGTGGACTTGTAAGCTCTGAAGTTTTACATTGTTTTGTTTTTGAGTGCAGTTATGTAACCAAAATCTACATTTGTAAGTTGCACTTTCACAACAAAGAGATTGCACTACAGTACTTGTATGAGGTGAATTGAAAAATATTATTTTTATCATTTTTACAGTGCAAATATTTGTAATAAAAAAAAGCTTTGATTTCAATTACAACACAGAATAGAATATATATGAAAATGTAGAAAAACATCCAAAATATTTAATAAAGTTCAATTGGTATTCTATTGTTTAACAGTGCGATTAAAACTGTGATTAATTGCGATTAATATTTTTGAGTTAATCACGTGAGTTAACTGCGATTAATCGACAGCCCTAATTTAAATGGATGATTTCAATAGCTCCTTTCACAGAGGCCGTTTTGAGACTCCTTACAAAAGCTAAAAACATGGGGGGAAAAGGGTTTCAGGGAGTTGACTTATTTTTCTCTCTAACACAATAGAGCTATGGAGTATTGTTAAACATTTGGAGGAAGAAAAATGAATATCTAGCTATCTGTGCTATCCAAGATTGTTTCTCTTTTAACGAAACATATTTAGAGGAGCCCAAGACAATTTTATGTTTAGTGAACAGAGTCAAAGTGCCTATAGATCTCCATTCCTTCAAGCCTGTCTTGAGCTCAGATAAAGAAAAATTCTGTTGTTGAGTTTGAGAGTCAGGGCAACAAAGTCTTTAAGTTTCTTTTCTCAGGTATTGGCTCTGTGAAATCTGTTACATAAGAGATTTTACGTATTTGTATGGGCATTGGGTTTAGAAGATTGATTGGTTTTGTGCTGAGGATGTTAATTTTGTTTACTTAGTGTAAACTGAAAACCCTCTTGGGTCAGATAGTCATGTATTCACTCTCTTCCATCTGTGTTTCAGGCATAAAGATAACATGTTAAAAATTAAACTTGTAACAGAAAGGATTTAAGATTTGGATGACTGGGCAACAAAATGGCAGATGAAATTTAATGTTGATAAATTAAAAGTAATGCATATTGGAAAACATAATCCCAACTATACATACAAAATGATGGGATCTAAATTAACTGTTAACACTCAACAAAGAGATCTTGGAATCATTGTGAACAGTTCTCTGAAAACTTCTGCTAAATGTGTCGCAGCAGTCAAAAAAAGCTAACCAGTCTTAGGAACCCATTAGGAAAGGGACAGATAATGAAACAAAAAATATCATAATGCTACTCTATAAATCCATGATATGCCTTGAACAGTATGTGCAGTTCTGTTTGCCCCGTCTCAAAAAAGATACATTAGATTTGGAAAAGGTACCAAGAAGGGCAACAAAAATAATTAAGGGTGTGGAACAGTTTCCATATGAGGAGAGATTAAAAAGATGGGGACTGTTCATCTTGGAATAGAGATGATTAAGGGGGGAGATGACAGAGGTCTATAAAACATGAGTGATGTGGAGAAAGTGAATAAGGAAGTGTTATTTACCCCTTCACATAACACAAGAACTAGAGGTCACCCAATGAAATTAATAGGCAGCAGAAGGTGGTACTTCACACAACACAGTCAAGGTATGGAATTCATTGCCAGGGGATGTTGTGAAGGCCAAAAGTATAACTGGGTTCAAAAAATAATTAGATAAGTTCTTGGAAGATAGGTCCATCAATGGCTATTAGCCAAGATGGTCAGGGATGAAAGCCCATGCTCTAAGTGTCCGTAGCTTCTCACTGCCAGATGCTGGGACTGGATGACAAGGGATGGATCAATTGATGATTGCCTTGTTCTGTTCATTCCCTCTGAAGCATCTGACATTGAGCACTGTAAGAAGACAGGATCCTTGGCTAGATGGACCATTGGTCTGACCCAGTATGGTCCTTCTTATGTTTGTTGTATTCTGCACCATATGGATATCTGAAGAATGCTTCCCCCCCCCCCCCCCCGCTTTCTTGGGTAGATCCCTATAAATACAAGGGAGGTTAACATTAGCCAACTGTAGGGTCTTCCAAAGTTATGATTTTTGAGAAAGGACAATTCTTCGGCACTTTCTTCAAAAGAGGGATTGGCAGAACTAAAATATCCACAATTTCGCAATCTCACAAGTGGCTTTTCTTTTTCTTCAACTAATTATCTTATGGTCACAGATAGTGAACAAAATGTTTATCAGCTGTTCATTGCTATTTATACAGGAACTTATTGGTATGGAAAGTGTCAACTTTAATTGATGTACAGTGAATGGTAACAAATAATTATTAAGCTATTCTAGTTTTATGGTACAGATGAAAGGAAGGAAATTATATATTTTAAATTGAAGATATTGAAAAGAGTGTATAAAATATTTTACTCCTATAATTCCATACTTCTTTCTAGTAGTCATTATTGCTAAGAATTTTTCATGGAAACAGGATCTTTATTTCTTAAAGTGACATATCTTTAAAAATTTAGGCTTTTTAAAACAAAAATTGTGGTGCTCTGTTGGGAGAAGTACTTATACCTTTAAAAGGGAAGGACATCTTTACTGTTAAAGCACACAATTGGAAAACTGATCTGAGACATATTCTTGGTTCTGCCACAGACTCCTGTGTGACCTAGAACTTAGCCTGTCTCTCCCTCAGTTTCCCACTTTTGTAAAATAATACGTACCTACTTCGTAGGTAGAGCCCTACGCAGATACAAAAATGTGGATTTGCATCTGATCCGCATTTGCTAGAATCAAGGTGCATCTGATCCGCTAGCTGTCTTTTGTGTGTGTCTGCATCCGCACCTGCAGCAGCAGGCCGTCTCTCATGGGCTAGCAATGGGGACGGGGAGAGGAGAGGGTGCAGATGAGTGAGAGGAGGGCGTGGGGTCTTGCAGGGAAGAGGCAGTGTGAGGGCGGGGACTGGGGGTAAGGGGTGACTCGGGTGGGGTCTTGAGGAGGATGGTGGCGCAGGTGCAGGATCTCGAGGAGAAGGGGTGGGGGCTGGAGGGAAGGGATATTGTATCGTGTGCTGCTTCCAGGGGCTTGCAAGTGACGTCGGCAGCAGTGCATGTTGCATTGCAGCAGGGCAGAGGGATCAGGTGCCACGGCCCCACCCGCTGGAATACCCAGGGTCGGGAGAGTGGCGAGTGCTGCCGAGCCGGGCTATGGCGGGGACGCTGGCACTGTCCAAGGGCCCCGAGCTGCTGGACAGGAAGCGGCGCTGCAAACGGGTGCTGGACAGCCTCATCTCTGGCCTGCTGCCCGGCCCCAGTCACTGGCTGCTGGCCACCGGCCCTAAAGCATGCTGCGCCCCGGGGCTGCCTGAGCCGGATGCCGCGGGCCAGGTGCCACCAGTGAGTAGAGAGATCCGTGGATATGAAGCGGATATCCATGGATTTGCAGGGCTCTATTCATCGGTTTACTATGATGTTTAGACCATGGTTTGTTGGAGGTTTTGTTTCAGATGGAAAGGGTAAAAAGTATAAATTATTCCGTTCCTTATAAGCTACAATAAGAGCATCCATGCAGTTTGGGCACCCTCGACATTCTTTTTAAAATGCACAAATAAACAAACCCATCAATTGCCCCAGATCAAATCAGATAACGAAGTGAAAACATAAATGTAGTAGAAATTAATCAACCACAAACTCAATCACTATCGGAGACTCACATCACCATTACCCAGCTCTATCCATCACCCATCTCTTTAGCAGCAAGTGGGACAAGGAAAAGGTTACTGAAAGAAACAAATGTTGATGTAATTTTCTGTTATACGTTTCATTTTGCTTTTGAAATTGTAAAACAGAAGTTGTTTGACATTGTGATTCACTTGCACGAGTATGGTAACATATTGCTTTGGCAAGTGACAGACTAGATGAACTCGCAGAACTTTTCCATCTCTTTTTCTATGATCATGTATTACCCTGGAAACCTTGGGTTTTTTTTTCTTTCCACTAAGCAGGAATAAGCATTTAGTACTGTAGATCCCTTTTGCCTTTAGAGTCATACTATAGATTGTGTACAGTTTTCTGTTAAATCTTATCCATCTGCTGCATATATACAAATGTATACGTATAGGATAGAACCTCATTAATTTGCAGTGATGTCTGGAAAACAGTGCAAATAAATTAATTTTATGAATTATCAAGTAAGTCCATGAACAAACAGTATTATTTTTTTTTAAAAAAGCTCATTTTGTGATGCCTTGTCATTAACTTATTTTTGACACCTGTAGTTTCAGTTTGATATTCCATTCTGTGGCATAAATGTGTTTTAAAGTATCTAAATATTAGCATTCTGAGACCTCTTTACAGCTCTTTGGTGTAATATCTTTGAGAGTGTTGGAAAACAGGTATTTTTATGTTTGTGTGAATGTTAAAATATGTGGATTGGCAAATAGTACTATGTGTGTACAGTAGAATTTTGTTTTTATGCCCTTAACACTTGTTTCACTGGATGCTTCCTGCCCTGTCACCCGCCTTCCTACACTCCTGATATACTCAGGGACTCTGACTCTGAAAACTGAGCTTTCTTCCTGTTGTGTACTTCGTAGGCAATTGTGTGGCTTGACCGTACTTGTGGCTATGTAATCATGGCTTTTCTTTCTGAGAAGTGTTAAAGAGGCCATTTGGTCTTTTTCAATTCTCTTTCAGAATTCTCCACTTTACCAGTATTTACAGGATTTGGGCCATACAGATTTTGAAATATGTTCAGCTGTATCACAGAAGACAGAACAATGCACAGCAGAGGAGGGGCAACAAGAACAAGATACCACCCAGAAAGTGAGCATTCACCTTGGCCTTGAAGCTATGTTAAAAATATATATAAAATCACAGACATTATATAAACTCTTGCTATATAAAAAGTTATTAGAACTAGTAGCTGCCTTATTTTGCCTTTCTGCTGATATAGTTTGAGGCTGAGGAAATGCCACTCAGGATTTAAATGCACTAGAGAGGCAGGAGACTTTCACAGCGAATTTTTAAAGAGCTGTAAGTTTTATATTATTTACCAGATATTTTTATAGTAATTTAATATGGGATTAATACAGCCTGGAAAGTTTCCAGCTTTGCTTATGTGTTGAGTTGCTAAACACCACTTAATATGTAGCAAGTATACAACAGGTGGGACTTCTTGCTGGAAAGTAGAGGTAAGATAACAGTTGTCCCTGAGACACCAGAACCATACTAGTTTATGGAGAAATAACAGTGACTGGTGTTCCTACCTTCTCCTTATGGGCCTGACTCACTTTGGGTCTAGCACACTTTCTGTAATGAACATTTCAGTGATTTGGCCTAACTGCCCTATACTGGGGGCCAAACCATTTTCAGGCCTAGTTCACTATAGGTCAGGGAGGATCAGTTATTGTTGTCAGCCATGGCTCCTTTTGATTAAGAGAGCACTATATCTGTTACTGCATCCGAAGCAATTTAAGACATTCTAAGTCTTTAAACAGTTTAAACTGCTCTTTGATATTACAATGGCTTGAAGCTAAGTTTTTCAAATGAGAGTAAGGGAGTTTCAATGAGATTTGGGCACCTAACTCCATCAGCTTTTTTGAAAATTCCAGCCTCAATGATTATGCCACTCTGCAGTAGGTTAAGCAGTTTATTTGGCTTGGGGAGCTTTAGTTAAGAATGGTAGAGGTCAGGAGGAATAAAGCCTAATAGCTCTAAGTTATAGATTCCACAAGCCTGTAGACTGGATAATCACCAGGAGCTGAACAGCTCAGACTTTTTGCACTTTAAAAACAGGGAAACGATCAGTAGGTTTTTCAAGGGAGTTTTACATTTGGATTATGCTTGACAAATCAAGGACCTAGAATTTAGGATATTCCAAAAATTAAGTTTGTTTCCACAATGTTAACTTGAGCATGCAGTACGTATGTAGTATTATACACTTTGATTAATGTATTTGTTAACAACGTATACCACAGCTCTGTGAATCCATGAAGCCACACTTGTAGAGTTGGCCACAGGGTTTTTCTTCTGGGGCAGCTGCTACAGGAATAATCCCCCTGCTGGCCGTGGAAATTCAGTTGTTATATTGTCCTCTCTTTAGCACCTAGTTGGAGCATGCTCAGTGCAGTTATTTTCTGCCTGCATCTTTCTCTTCCACAGTGGAGAGTTCTCTTTTCAATGGATATGCTCCAGCTATGTGCTAAGCTAGAGCCTGGTGGAAAAAAGAGACTTCTATGCAGACTTCTCTGCCCAGAACACTGCAGGGTGGGGTGCCCCCCAACACTATAAAGGTAAGAAGCTGGAACAAGGTTCCAGAGACTCGATGATTCCCTGTATCTGAAAAATCCCTGTTTCTTTCCCACTCTGCTTGCTGCAGCATTGCACTCATTTGCTTATGTCCATGGCCTGATGGCTTCTCACTAGTGTCCACTGCTGCTTTCCACTGTCCTCTAGTGCTCAGTCGCCTTTACACACAACACTTTGCTGTTTTCCAACAGCTTCCCCAACCTGCAGTCCCCTTCCTGGCCACTGCTGCTTTCCTGCTTCCACACCCCACTCATTAGTGAGAAGTGGAATGAGTAGTGCACCCACATCCTTTCTCAGAAGCAGGCAAGAGAGAGAGAATGATACCAGCCTACATGCCACAGCGAGGCTCTCTGATTTTTTGTGGCCTACCAGTGGTGGATCTTGTGACAAACTGCAAGTTGGGCAACAGTCTGGGAAACGCATTCAAAAACAGGCTCTAATGAAAGTAAACTAATAACACCATATTGATATCAAGTCTGTTCTAGTCTATATAGATTCTTCTACCATGGTCATCACTATAGTATATGAATACCTTCCAATGATGCATTAAGCAGCATGACTAACGTGTTATGCCTTTGTTTTCTCATCCTTTCCTGGGGAGCGGAAAGGGATTTACACATTATTTTGTTTTGAAATTTAATTTATAATACACACACACACACACAGAGGTTGCTATATGTTTGTTACAGAAGGCAAGGTGAAAGAAATGTGTCTTGCACTTAAGGCAGAAGATAGTGAGGTTTTTGGTAGTCCTTAGTTCCTATGGAAGTCTTTCTGTGTTGATAGATTCTAGCATGCTATCGCACTACCATAATAAAAAAAACCCCATAATTAAATAAAAGTCCCTGATTACATTAATGCTGCTTTGTGTCGCTCAGTCCTGTTGTCACAACGTTTCCACTTTGTCGTAGAACTCAGCGTTGGTGTCAGTAGAAACCGGAGCATCTTACTGTGGAATTTCTGTCCCATGTGCTGCAGAGCATGTAAGGACAAGTGGCAGATTTATTGTTTGGGGAATGAGCTTAGCTTTTGGAGTTTCTTCACACTTGAATGCCTACTTTCTCAATTCAAAGGTGCCATTAAAATATATTTTTTTATATTTAATATGTGAGCTGTTTTCTGGAAAACGTTCATCTAGCTAGCTAATGAATTAGAAGTAATCACTGCTGGTTTCTTTCAGTGCTCATGGAGTAGAGTCTGACACTAATTAGGGACTAATGCTGCTTTAAGTTAACACAACATTAAAAGGATTCCTAAATATATTATGTCCATTTCCATTGGTTTTCAAAACTGTGAAACTGAGGACACTAGCTGTGACTGACTTGTTCCTCTAGAAATCTCATAAAAGCTATGTTTTCCCTTTCAAGTTATTGGCATTTGGAATGCACCTGCAGTTAACTGACCTATTTCTGCTTTTGTGCAATGAGATTTACTTTAATTAAAACTCTTATTTATTGAAATTTAGGTCAATAAAAAGTGATACCTGATTGGCTGATACCTGTACATTGTTCTGAAGTAGTACACAGGTTGGTTCTAGTTAGCTACATTACTTTCCCTTATATGCGTGGTCTTATGAAAGGCAGAAAATGTGTGCAATCTAATTGCATGTGTATGTATGTATTTTACCATTTTCCCCAAAGTGTATTGTTTCTATCTTTCACTTCTTCTGAAGCAGTTTACTCATTTTATTGGCTTAGGAGAGGGGTGGGCAAACTACAGTCGGGGGCTGCATACAGCCCTTCAGATGTTTTAATCTAGCCCTTGAGCTCGTGCGGGGAGCAGGGTCCCTGGTCCAGCGCTCCAGCTGGGGAGCAGGGTTGGGAGCTTTCCCCGCTCTGCGCATGCCATGGCTCCGTGCAGCTCCCGGAAGCAACAGCATTTCCCCCCTCCAGCTTCTACGCAGAGGGACAACCAGGGGGCTCCGCATGCTGCCCCTGCCCCAAGCACTGCCCCCACAGCTCCCATTGGCCTGGAGCCACGGCCAATGGGAGCTGCAGGGGCAGCGCTTGGGGCGGGGGCAGCGTGAAGAGCCCCCTGGTTGCCCCTCTGCATAGGAGCTGGAGGAGGGGCATGCCGCTGCTTCCGGGAGCTGCTTGAGGTAAATGCCGCCCAGAGCCTGCACCCCTGCCCCCCTCCCGTGCCCCTGCCCCAGCCCTGATCCCCCTCCCGCCCTCCAAACCCCTCAGTCGCAGCCTGGAACACCCCCAAGCCCCCCGCTCCATCCCAGAGTTTGCACCCCCAGCCGGAGCTCTAACCCCCTTCCTGCACCCCAGCCCCCAATTTTGTGAGCATTCATGGCCCTCCATACAATTTCCATACCCAGATGTGGTCCTCAGGCCAAAAAGTTTGCCCACCCCTGGCTTAGGAGCTCCTCCTTTGGTGTTGTCAATAACAGAGGCAATTGATCTTGGGTTCTCTTGAAACTTAAGGGCAGAGAGGGTGTGTGTTTAATATATCTGTACATCAAGCTCACCTGAGCAACTCATGAGCACCACAATTATGTCTGCTTTGTCTCATCTGTTTTCAAATGAGAGAATGTGAGGAAGGGAAGGGAAAAAACCCACGTGCTAATTTGGAGTTACAGGATATTGTGAATTGGAATTGATGTAATCATTCTTGGTAATCAGTACTGGCTTTGAAACTTTCGTGCTTTTCTGTTGTCTCTCTGATGCCAGATAGTCTATTTCTGTCCTTTAATTTCTGCTTCTCCTTCCCATTTCAGTGTCATCTCTGAAGGGAACTGACTTCTTGTTAGTGTGTGGTGAGGGGAAGATTGGTCTTATGGTTATGACACTGGACTGCTACTTGAGAGCTGGGTTCAATTCCCAGCACTGCCCATAACTTCTCTGTGACTTGGGCAAATCATTTAATTTCTCTGTGTCTCAGTTCCCCGTTTTTAAAATGGGATTAATACTTCCTTGTTCTCACCCTTTATCTGTCTAGTGTATATAGATTGTAAGCCCTTGGGAGCAGGGACTACGTTGCCTAGCTCACTTGGGCCCTGGTCTTGGTTGAGGGCTACTTTAATGCAAATATATACTCGCATGAGGAATGGAAAGACATGGTAATTGATGCTCACTGTGTATATCTGCAGAAGGAACACCAATGCACTTGTTCTTTTCCATCCTGTTCCAAAGAGTAACCTTGACTTGCAAGTACCATAAAAGCAAGTCTTTACATTGCTTTCAAATGAAAACCATTAAATGCAATTCATTGCTGCCAAAAACCTAGATGAACAACTGAGGACATAATGGTGTTTCCAGCTTTTTGAACCTGGGTTGGTGGACAACTGTGAGGTCCCAAATGACTCCTCCAAAACACCCAGGCATGAGAAATAGTGTTTTTTTCCCCAAGAGCTGGATTCTTCTTCCAAGAGGCTACAGGATCTCTTCCAGCGTCATCTGGTTCTGGTCTCCTCCCTATGGCTATGTGTCCTGCTAGATGTAGGAATCTAACTGCCTGGAAAAGGAGAGAATTATGCTCCTGGGGCACGGGAGGACAACAAAAATGCTAATTTTTCTGTAGGCTGCCACCTGAGTGATTGATGAAGGAAAGACTATTATCCGAAAATCCAAGTTGACCTAAGTTATGTTGACGTACAGCCATTGCAGTAATTGAATCGGTTTTACACATCCACACTGAGCTCTTTGTGTCGGTGGTGCATGTCCTCAGCAGGAGTGCTTGTACTGATTTAACTGCCATTATGGGATAGTTTCTGAAAGGCAGCAACATTCGACGTTGTCAGTGTAGACACTACATTGCTACTATGTCAACCTAACTACATCGACTTAAGCGCTACACCTCTTGCAGAGGTGATGTTATTAATTTGGTGTATTGGGCTTACAGAGTTAGGTCAGCGAAAGCTGTCTTACATCAAACTAACTCTGTAGTATAGACCAGGCCTTTGTTAGAATAAGAGTTCATAGGCCCAGTTTCCTGGCTTACTTCCAATTTGGGTAGTTACATTTGGCTTTCATCTTATTTAAATTTCCTCCATAATTTAAACTGTGTAGGATATTTTTCTCCACTTCCTATCCTAAACTATTGTGTGTGTTTCCGAGTGCTATTAAATAGTTGGTGCATCACATTTAACCCCAGATGTGATTATATTTTAATATTAGGTAAAAGTAACCTCTCCCTAGTTTCACTTTGTGAAATGTGTTGGGATAAAAGTGCTATATAAATGCAAGATACTATAAATGCCATCTTAAGTTCATCCCATACTAAAGTAAATATTTTAGTTATTTGGCTTTAAATGAATGCACATAAAAGCATGACTATCCCAAGCTATAGGTGCCTTTGCCATAAATTAAAATATAGGGGATACATATTTTACTATATGTTTCACAAAGAGCCCATTTAACTTATTTTTGTTCTAAAGTAGCAAGGAGAATACTCAAGAGTCATCAAAGGAAACATGACCTGACTTGTGTGTTGATGAAGACTGTTTTACTCGTCAGGAACACTTCCAGTGGGAATAAAGACTATAAAACATCATTCCAAGATATCTGAATAATTTAATGTGTTACCGCACACCACTGGTTCACAGCCCAAAACAGTGGGTTGTCTTGTTTTGCATCTTCAAGCTTTGGCCTGTCTGTCTTGCACTTATGCAAGCTCAGATTTTTCTTTAAAATCAAAATGAGGAATATGAACCAAAAGATAATTTATACAGCAAGCCAAGCTGGTTTAGTCTGTAACTCAACAGATTACATTAGCTGGTAACAGTGCTTTCTTTCTGACTTTAATGGTCATTAATTAAAACTGTCCTTGGTATTGATTTAAATGTGTGCAATCAAGAGCTGAAGACTCAGGAAGATGAAAGTAATTTAAAAAGTTTATTGTCCTTAAAACAAAACTTGTTCTTGAAATAATAAATGTTTCTATACTGTACTTTCAATACACTGGGAGCAGAGGTACTAGTCTAAATTAAGTATCCATCTGACCAGTCAAATGTAGTTCAAGGGCCATTGTTTACACCCCACCCATTGCTTCTACTCATTACCAAGAGGGCATTTTGCTTTACTTTGCATTGCTTCATGACTAGGGAGCTCTTTATAATGCAATTCTTGTAGCGCTATAGTTTGTGACATACTTCTTATTGTTTTCAGTGGTGTTTCTAAATGGACAGTCTACTGCCATTGCCTCTCTGCAGCCTCAGAATGTTCTGTAGGTAAAAAGAGTTTTAGCTTGTCACCAGCTTTCCCTTCTCCTACTGTTATAGGCAACAGGAACTCCAAGCTGTAATAATAGAAATTAGAGCTGGAACAAACCTATTAGCTTATTATTACTGCATCCCCTGGCTAATGCAGGATTGCTCTGTACAGTACATTTCTAGCATGTTGCCTGTTCTAGTTTTCAGTACCTCAAATGACAGTATTTTGAATGCTTCCCTTGGACTTTTTCATAGTCTAATTAGATAGCTCCCCTTGTTGGGATAGGATGATAACTGTACAGCCAGAAGAACTGTCATTGTGATATCTGATGTGTTGGTCCATTATATCATCCTAACCTCACTAATACTTCCCTCAGATATGGCTATATAGCTCCAATCGGGCATAGAAACAGATTTCATATATACATGGAAGCATCATTTGGGTTACTCTGTTGGACCCAGTTATCACAGTTCTGGGGTAACTGCACCTGTGATCCCTTTATGACTTCCTTGAGGGTGTCTAGCTGTCACCTTGCTTGGGGTGAGGTGTTCCTCTTCCTCCAGACAGTGTATTTAGCCTGCAATTCGTCGTGCTCTTCACTGTAATCATATTAGCAATCTGAGGGCTTGTCTACACTTAAAAGGCTGCAGCGGCACAGCTGCACCACTTCACTGAAGATGCTACCTACGCCAATAGAAGGACTTCTCCTGTTGGCATAGTGCTCCACCTCCCTGAGAAACAATAGCTTATGTCGAGTTTCTTCCGTCAACATTGCGCTGGCTACACCAGGAGCTAGGTCAGTATAACTGCATCACTTGGGGTGTGACAACATAAGTTGTTAGTGTAGACAAGCCTGAGGTTACTTCAGGACTTATGGTCCTGTTATCTACCAAGGACGATGACAGGGTTAACCTGTGACCAGCCCATCTTCTTAAAGCAAAGTATTTCTTTAGAACAAAAGCAGTACAGAGAAAACATATCTTGAAAGTGATAAACAACATATATGCATGCCTGTCTGACCAGTTGTCACCCATCTTCCACTTGGAGAGCATAGCAGGTTTCAAAGTCCTTCCAACCCTTCCAGTAGGGTTTTGTCCTCTAGGTTAAATTATGCCAGTTCTTGGGTTGAGTGAGGGTGAACCCCCCCTTCAGTAGCAGGCTCTCCATTTTATTCACTTCTTTGTTTGTCGTCTTCTGGGCCTCTTAAGTCCTGCCAAAACTGGTCTATGCAATCTCTCCCAGGGCGTGGTACTTTTGCAGACTTGTTTACTTGTCTAGAGGTTTGCAACAATTACCCCCTAGTGCTGTTAGTTCCTGCTAGTTCATTTATGCTTAGTGACTGGCCTAACCCCCACAGTTACTGCCTTGCTTGTCTTGCTTCAAGAATCTCTTCATCTGCAGCAGGCTACAATACAAAGTGAGAGGGGAAACTGAGTCGCATTAATTCTTTCAAAAAAATAAATCAGAAGTTTTCCATTTCTTAAGCAATGAGTTGGTTTTATTATTTAAAAAAAAAATGTCCCATGTAACTGAATGGCTCTGGATAATGTTAATTGGATAGCTAAAGCTTTTCATCTCTGGGTTGTCACATCAAGTCAGTGTCACACTGCCTTTCAGAACAAATGTTAAATCTATGTGCTTGGCTATCCTCCCTCTACCTATTAGACTACACTCCCATCCCCATATTAGTAACAACTCAGGAATTCTGATCCCCAAAATCATTCTACTGCTCTCTACTACTTGTTCTGTAACTCACTGGCGAAGTTTGTGTTGCTTTCCTCTCTAGTGGCTGCTCGACATATAGGACATAGGCATTTCTGTAGCTCGTGTGGTCCATGTGAAGGTCCACAGCTCACAATCCTGCTGCCAACCCATCTGGTGGCTCTTTTTGTTGTAAATGATGGAATTTGTTTTTACCAGTTTTCTTGTTTAAGAAATGAATTATTGAATTCACACCATGAGAAAATACCCTTACCATGTTTTACATTTTAAAAAAATCCATTCTTATCTATGATTTACGATGCAGTATGCAACTAAACACAGTTTCCACATTTCAGTCATTTGTGACACAATTTGATTGATCGCTTGTATTGCATATTAGCAGGTTGAAGGTTCAGAGGTGTAGTCATGAAATTCATGTAATGCATATAAATATTTTTTAAACTACCTTCTACTAGCTCTACAAAGAGATGTGGAAAGCAGATATACGGTATGCGTTTATAAGCATCTCACTCCATTTTAAATAATTGCAGGTTCAGGCAAGACCTGGTTTCTTTGTTGGGTCATATTTTAAAGAAATACTTGTTGATTATTGGCCTGGATTAGTAGTTATTTCTAATCCATGAGGACAGAGTCTGTCCCTAATTAGAGGTCTACAACTCACAAATGAAGCTAAAAGCCCAGTTTTAAGTTACGTGTGGTGTAGCGTGGAGATAAGAGTATATGATGCTTAGTGCTAATCTGACATGGAGCTTCTGGAACAGTTACTGCAATTGTCATCACTGGGCCTCAGCACCTTCAATATCTGGGTCCACTCGGCCAGCCTCAATCCCTGTCTTCCAGTCGTGACACCTGCATAAGTAAAGACAGCTCCTCATTCTCAGTTCTTTTTTTACATTTGGGTTCCTTAGACCATTTAATCCTGCTTGGTTCTTTTCCTATCCTCAAGGAGAGAGGGGTTCTTTCATGCTCAGGCAGCAACTACAACCCTCAGACCAATAGGCTAATCCTAATTACACTTGCTTTAACAATGTAGCATTTATAGCACCTTGGAATGAAGGGGTTAATGAAAGCTTTATTTCACCTTCTATGCTGGCAAAATTTTCAAGTCACCAGAAACAGGTATTCCCTTAGCATACTCTGAAGTTGGACCAGGTAGAGTAAGTGAAAACTAAGTCTCAGGTACTTGGAATTTGATTTATCAAGAGAAACTGAAGCAGGAGTAAATGAATTATTGTTTCTTTTATATTTGTAATTTCAGTTTTTTGTTCCTTTTAGCAAGGCATCCTGTCAAAACTAGCTGAGCTCTTTAAAAGCTCATTTCCTTTTTCACCATGTAAGAAAAAAGATGACCTACTCTACCGATTGGTAAGTAATTACTTTTTTATTTCCTTCCCCATCCCCTGTGTCTTCCTGTTTCTTACACCTTTCCTTGATCTATATTTTGCCTCATTCAGTGCTAGTCAGCAAGACTGACCTATGGGGAATTGACATATTCTTCAAAATTCATCAGTTATTGGGGAACAGTGCAAAGCTCACTGTGTACAACATGTAGGGTTTGGAAATGAAGCATAAAGGTTTTTAAATGTAGATAAGGTAATTTTACCTTAGAAAAGCTTGACAAAAAGTGAAGATGTTATTTAAAATGAAGGAGACTGAATATAGTGTCCTACCTTCTTGATCCAATTCAGCTGTAGAGAAAGTTCAGGACAAAATACCATACCGTGTATGTATTGCTTTCTAACAATTAAGATCTGGTTTTAAGTGCAAAGCCACTTGCTTACATCAGAAATTATGCTCCTGATCATTTATATGAATGAGCCTTCAAATTTGTCGCTTGGTTTGCAAGCATCTCTTCCATGATGGAAGCTGGAAAAACACATAGGGCTTAAATCACCCTCGGGCCAGAGCTGAACATGGCATAGAGATTGGGGGACTGAGTTAAAGGTGGCTTCATGCCACCTTTGCATCTTCCCTTTTCTGGGGCATACCTCAGCCACCAGCACAGGTTATAGCATCATGAGGTTGGACATAACTTGTGGCCAGTTGCCGGTGGCCCCCTAGGTTTGACTGCATCTGATAGATTGTAACAGCACCGGGCACACCTGGTGGGCCCTGTGCACCATGGGTTCCTGCTGGAACCAGATGCATAGGTGGCTGTCTACCAGCCCAGGATGCCCACAGCATTGAAGGAATTACCTGTGGGCCAGATCCACTGGCATTGATGTCCTTTGAATAAGCCGGTAAAATTGGCATAAAGGAGCCAAGATGCAGGGATGGATTGGGTCCACATTTCCTTTCACTCAGAGACTTGGCACCTGACCTCTCCAGATATAGCAGGACGAACACAGGACAGTTCTTTTATGCCTTCTGTTTTCACTGAAATATGCCGAAATTACATAAGAACGCTGTCCTTAAATACAGCCTTAAAAATAATTGGGAGAATTATTATTATTATTATTAACGCTGTCCCCATCCCTCCTGGAGTCCTCAGAGATCTGCCAGTTCCAATCCCAACCCCTCATAATCACCACTTCCTCAGCCTAGGAGGTCAAGATTTCCTTTGCAGCCTGGCAACACTGCTCTGGAATTGCCCAGGAGGCAAAGAAAGGAACTCTTCTCCTGCCCCCATGTAAGCTGAGTATGCTACCTCCACAGCCATCCTAGCCCTGTTATCCTGGAAACCAAGAAACTGAGGTAGTTAGCCAACCCTGCAAGATGATGCAAAGCAGTACCTGTAGGATACTGAACAGACTCAAGAGAAGTGTTCTTGAATTCACTTCAGCACATAGTCTGCTCTGTAGCTTCCTGCATCAAGTCTTCTCCAATAAAAACTGAATGCAGGAGGGTATAAGATAATACTGAGTATCATTAATTTATTGTTATTTTATTTTAAAGAATTAGGGCCTTCAAATAGCTATTTTCCTACTATCTTCATGGTAGATTACTCCACTGAGTCAATGAGAAATACTTATCTTGGCTTTAATAGTACCAGTTGGATTAAAACTAAAAAGATTTTGGCAATGAAGTGACAAACTCCTTGAGGTCTGTTAACAGCTTTTGGCTGCAGAAGAGAAGTATTTTCCCTTTTTACACTTACATCTTGCTTTAGACCACATGCTAATGGTAAATTTTCATTGTGGTGTGTTTGAACACTCTTAATTGAGAAACTTTTGGTGTTTTAGAGTTACGGTTTGCTTCAGTATCTGATTTAAGACTTCAGAGAGCTACTATAGCCGTAGAGATTTTTTTCTTTAAACGTTCTAGTTGAAGAAGGGGAAGTGCAAATGTTTGTGATGGCATTAAAATGATTGGTACCACTCAAAGTTCCTATTAGGTTTGGTAAGTCAAAGGTCCACAGGATCCCATGGTGTTTCATTTGTGGAGTCACAGGTTCCTTTGGAAAGGTCTTGTGGCTCTCTCCTGGAGAATCCCACTGCAGATGGGGAATCTAATTCCAGCCAACTGACCTTTCCTTTGTCAACTGGTCCACAGCCAATTTTTATAACTGACTGATTTGCAATGTCTCTATCTTAACATCTTTTTGTTTGCTAATGACAGATGCTACAGAAAAAAGCTAGATTCATTTGAACACAACAGACTTTTCAGGTTGCAGTTTGACTTCCATTCTTCTGGTAAATTCTAGTTCCTACGCGCATTCCTGTGGAAATACATTCATACAACCTGTAGCATGTTTCCAATTCAGCCACATTGTCCTCATTTAGGACCAGGTTGTGAGTTCAATGCAAGCAACTTTAAAGATGAGATGGCAGAAGTAGTTTTAGAATGAAACACATTTAAGAGAGGTGGTATAGCCAATTGTAGCATGTCTAAAGTGCTGGAGTCTTCAGAACTATAAACCATAAAGTTCTATTATTTTTTAACAACTGAATCTCTACTCATGCTTTCTTTTTCTTTCACTCATTCATGTTAAGGATGTTGGGTTTCGACTAGACACTCTCTATACCATCCTGCAACAGGAAGTTCTGCTACATGAGGATGTGGAGCTGATTGAGCTACTCGACCCCAGTATCCTGTCTGCAGGGCAGTCCAAGCAACAGAAAAATGGACACCTTCCAACGCTACGCTCCCTAGCAACTCCTAATATTTGGTACTGTCCAGAAAACGCCTATGCCTGTGACTATTTAGATACATTGATGGGGAAACTATCAGCATGCTCTTTGCATAAGAGACTTTACCAAACAGTTTGTCCTTTCTCCTCTAAAATCTTTGATTTAGATTATTTGACTCCCCTTTGGTCTTCCAGGCCCAGATTTTTTAACTTCCTGGGCACATTTGAAAGCCCATTTTCCCCTCAGACTTTTGAGGAGTGTGTGGATTGAAGGCTGGTGAATAGTTACATGTAGTCCTTTATGTTACATTTTATGTTTTAATTTATGGGATAGGCTCCCCAGAACACATGATGGGCACTATGGATGTTTTGACATATTTTATTAAATAAAGAGGTTGGTTAGTTCTTCAACTTCTAAAGTGATGTTCTGATGGCTTTGGTACATGTCTAGTGTAGGCACACTAACCTGGAGACTGGATTTTCTGAGTTGAAAAGTCTGCAGTATTAATTTATTTTTTTTTGGTATTTTTAAACAATTTGTTGGAGCCGCTAGCATTCCTGTTTTGGTTTTCTTCAGGCCAAACTTTTATCTTTATTTGAAATTTAAAAAGATACATTTGTATTCCACTTCTAATGTGTCTCAAAAATGAAGCAACAGAGGCAGGTCTGGAGAATTTGCTGCCATATGGTAACAGTGGTGAGGAGAACTAGGAGATGTGAAATGTATGAAAAGTTTCATAGACTGCATCATACTACTGAGTTCATTACATTTGCAAACCATTCATGCTGCTAGTGATGTAGTCATCTGTGAGAAGTAAACAGGGCATCAGGAAGTCTATTAGATATAGCAGGGAAGTTACAGAAGGATAATGAATTCCACACTGGTGTACAGGTCTTGTTTATAAAAGTTGCCTGTCCTTTAAGCCTATGACTGTCCTCTTAAAATTAATTTCCTACCCAGAATGTTTGTACACTGCACAATGCTTTCTTTAACCCTGGGCCTCTTCTAAAATCAGTAAATAGTGTGAAAGAATTACATACTATACTACATTAAAATTGGTCTTCTTATTGTGGATCTCTGTATTCATATCTTTCTGGGTTTGCCTTCCAAGTTTCCTGGAAGCCCAGACAGCATATTTTGTTTCAGAAATACCTGAAGTGTTTTGAAACGTTAAATTGGCATTCCCCAATTGAAATATTGCAGAATTCCAGTTGGGCAAAAATTTTCAAGTTTTTGGATTTTTGTCATGATTCAAGACAATTTTTTCCAAAAACTAAAAAAAAAAAAAATTGATGAACTGGAAGTCTGTTTCCCAGTCAGCTCTAATAAATAGGTATGAAGTTATTTGAAGCTTGAAAAGCTTATAGCTTTGCAGAATTATAGATTAAATACAAAGGCCCACATTCTGTTTTCTAATAGACCAATTTTTCTGTCAAAACTTTCAAAAGAAAAATGGCAATTTTGCAAAAAAAAATAAAAATCTGCTTTTGAACATAGCTGAAATGAGACTTTAGCTTCTATCATTCCAGGTAATTTGAAAAGGTTCTCAGGGCTGCCTAAAAAGATTTCCACAGCCAGCTTTTTAAAAGCTTGTTAGAACTTTGTAGTATGTTATGTCCAGGTTAAATGAGTCAGAATCTGGAAAAATAAAACTGTCATTACTTAGAACGTTTGCTTACCGAAAAGAACTATACCCTTTACCACTGTCCTCTTGAACCTGGAAGTGAAGACCATACATTTCCCATCCACCCTTGCTTTTAATGCTGAGCAATCACATTTTTTTTTTTTAAGTCCTATGTTTTAAAGATTGACCTTTCAAATTGACGCATTATTTTTCCACTGGCTGTTTTAAACCAAGAAAATATATCGTAGCTCTATGGACTAATTCCATATATAAAAACACCTAAATCTGCCATTTAGTGATCTTGTTGCTGTTTATTGCTCTCTTAAAAGCCTACATAAAAGTCCATGTAATTAAATATAAACAACATTGTAGTTGAGATCTCATGACTTTCCTCAGTTGATTAATCTTAGGAATCGGTGGTAGATGAAACTTTGTGTATTCCTTTGTTTGCAGGGATGTGTCTCTGCTGCTTGCCTTTGTCAGCGCATTGATTATACTTCCTTCATGGTGGAATGGATCATTCTGGCTGGTGTGGGGACTAGTTCTGTTTGTCTATGTGATCACACGAGCTCTAGGCACATGGAGGATAGCCAAGCTGCTAATGTCCCTGAGAAAATACAGACTCCAGCTGGAAGAGACAGTGGCAAATAGCCGCGCTTTTACTAATCTTGTGAGAAAAGCTCTGCGTCTCATTCAGGAGACTGAAGTCATTTCCAGAGGATTTACCCTGTGAGTCTTTATTTTATTTCATTTTATATATGGATTCATTCAAGCTAATTAAGTATTAAAATTCTATAATGTTATCTCCAATGACAGATGGAATCTGTTGGAAAACATTATACGTTTTAATTTTTTTATTAAGATTGACATTTCTACAGACAAACTTGTGTAACTACCATGATAATTACATTGCAGGTGTTCAAAGTCTGACAGTTCTGTTTAAAAGTGTTCACTATAAAGATTTTCAAAGGCACAACAGCTCTATTATTTGGGCACCGTACTGTCCTTTGTACCTTTTGAAAATCTCCTACACTACTGACAACATAAACAAGTAATTATTTATGGGGAGGAGTAGGGAGAGACAAAGGGGCTCTAAGCCCCTTTAATGAGCAGTTCTTGAAGGGTCATGTAGTATTTTAAAATTATATTTCACTATTTTGATGAAATTATTTAGCATTTTAGATTACCAAAAAATGTTTTCTAACATTATTTTGCCTGCAAGTAATCAGTAGTATTTTATAACGAAAGATTATGTGAAAAGGTATTTCCTTCTGTATGGTGTGCAATAATAATTTTGTTTTCATCACATTACTTATAATCAAAGAAATGCTATGAAAGGTCATAGGTTGAAAATATTGTTTTCACATCTATTGCCCCTCAGACACTTAAAACTCAGAACTCTTTGCCAACAGAATTTGTCTTTTCCTACTTATGGGATTTGATATTCTGATCCTAGTTATTTGGTGTCTACAGTTGAATTGGCCCTTGTCTGTTTTCTTCCTGGTTTGGATGAATGAACATTGTGACATACTGAACACGTGTACTGATCTTGAAGCCAACATGCTTGCACCTGTGCATTGTCCTTCCCTTCTATTGTTTTAAGTCAATGTAATTTCTAGCAACACGTTGTGCTTATAGAACTTTGGGTGGAAGAAGGAGGAAAATGCAAAAAATAGTCCAGTCATCTTTTTAAGATCAATAAAATACCTCTTTTTCTCTGCTTTGATTTATGGGATCTGTATACATTTCTGACTTGAATGCCCTAATATGCACAGAGAACTTTGTTCTGTATTTGTAGACATTATGCTATTCCTACCAGTTAAACTGTATTGTGTTTGAGCACATGATGCTACATTCATGGCTGAAACTGTACCCTACCTAGTTTGAATTAATTTCCTAACTTTAGATGATGAGATACCTACATTATGTTTTGCCAAGGACATATTTTATTATCTTTTTGGAGTGTTTAAGCATGTCCTAAGTCAGCCTAGATATGTTTTCATTGAGCCAGAATACAATTAAGCAATATTCAGTCTTATCTTCACAAAAAAGAATCGCAAAAATAATTTACTATTAAGACTTGTCCAGATTGAGACAAACATCTGATTTTTTTCTTCTAATTTTAACAAATCTGTGGTCTGATTGCTTTTTAATTACATATCTAAAAGTTAGTTGTTTAAAACAATAGATGAGCTTCAAGTTGACTCCTGATCTTATGTCCCCTTTTCTTTAAATCTTAGCCCTGGTCTACACTGGGGGGGCTGTTGACCGAAGATATGCAACTTCAGCTACGCGAATAGCGTAGCTGAAGTCGGCGTATCTTAGGTCGACTTACCTGGCCATGAGGACATCGGCGAGTTGACCACTGCCGCTCCTCCTTTGACTTCACTTCCGCCTCTCGCAAGCAGGAGTTCTGGAGTCGATGGGGAACGCGTTCAGGGATTGACTTATCACGTCTGGATGAGACGCGATAAATCGATCCCCAATTGGCGGGTAATGAAGACCTGCCCTTAGTAACCTTTAAGAGAGGATTTCTTTTGGTGTGCATGGGATGGGGGTGTGACCCGGGGTACGTAGGGTAGCCCTCATTGAAAATGCCAAGGTCTGGGCAGGCTGCAAAAGGAGAACAGATACTCTCAAAACTGGTGGTTAACACTGAAGTTAGACTCACCAACCAGTCACAAGCTGTGCTCCTAGTCCCCCACATTGGTTATCAAGAAGCTAAAAAAGAAATCACACAGCCCCCTTTATTGCATTCCAGTTCTCTGGCTCCCAATCAGCATATAGGTCCAGTACAGTGAGAAGTTGTTTAAAAACTCTGCTAACTGTACAAAATGTTCTTTTGACCCCAAAGGGACAGCTACATTATCAGGTCAGTATTAGCTTGGATCTTACCCAAAATATCATGCTGCCAATCAATCCTTTAGTATCTAAAACTAAAGATTTATTATAAAGAAAAAAGAAAGAACAGGAAGAGAGTTGTTAAATGGTAAAACAATCAGATAATACCTAAGACTTCAAAGTCCATATATCAGGTTGTTAACAGTATTGGTGAGTTTGCTGGCTTGAAAGTCCCTCTGGAACACATCCACAGCTCGGTTTGGTCATTGTCCTTTGTTCAGAGCTTTGTTTGTAGAAAAGTTTCTCCAGAAATAAGAAGCAGATTGAAGACAAAATTGAGATGATGCAGCGGTCCTTTATACCTTTTGCCATGTGGCTTGTACTTCCTTTGTCCCAAACACAAACTTCACAGCACATGGCATGGAAAAGCCTTAGCATTCTCTGTCCACAGACATTCCCCTACATGTCTTGCTGACTCATGAGGTGTAGTCCCTGCCTTCTCTCAATGGGTTCATTGTACAGCTGATGTCCATTGAGGGGCCATCAAGCAGGCTTAGTACCAATGCCATTCTGTCTGTGGGGGAACCCAGAAATACAGCATAAGTTTTGAAATACAGATATGCCATACATATCTATAACTCACAATACAAAAGCAATACAAACATATAAACAAGATTATGATACTTGGCAAATCATAACATTTTCACAGATACCTTACATGGCATATCTGGCATGACTCCTTGCAATTTTTTAATAGTGTCTTCCCAATTCCATGCTGTATCACAGGGGGTTTGAAGGTAACTGAGACAGTACGCTCAATACATGGATCTCTGAAGTAATGGTCCAATATGGACCAAGTCTATGACCTTTATTTTTTTTTAATCCTTAACTAATTCTAGAGTGTTTTCCTCAGCAGGCCTATACATATAATATGCTCTAGAGGAACAGTCAGAAAATTATTTACTTAAGTTAGCACTCTGTATGGTGGTTGTTGCCCCCGATTTTGCTTTGAGCTATAGTGTAGTTTCCTGCTAATAGACCTTAAGAGAAAAAGCTTAATATGTCTTCTAGCAGTAATGTAGTAAAGTAGCTTTAATGTTCGCTAAAGGGAGTCAAGTGACACTGAATATCGTTACAGTAAGTTAAGGGATGTCTTTCTGTGCGATTTTACAGCTCTGAGGCTTAGGAACTTTGCCATTGATGTCAACTGGGTCAGGAACTCACCCTATAAGATGATAGGGATGCTACTGTAGCAATATGTCCCAGTAAGTGCTAAGAACAAAATTTTGGTCATTTGTTCATTGTCTCAGCAACATGAAAGCTTCTGTTGGATCTGTTTTATTCTGTAAAAACATCATCCCACCTTGAATTCCTCCCGTCCAACCTGCTGGAGCTCCTTTACCTTAAGTATTTCAAATGCAACTGGTTATCCTCCATCAGACAGCAGGATGCCTTTAGAGAGAAACATGGACAATGCCCTAAATTCTCTTTGCAATTAGGTGTAGCTGTAGTCATTACCTTTCAAAACAAGATTTTGTTTTTGTTTGTTTTGAAAGGCACTGACTAAGCTAATGAGTTCCAATCAAGTAGTCCTGCCTAGGGTCACTGCTTGGAATTCCTACTAGCTATTGAAAATGCTTCCATTTCCCTGCCCCTTGTAAAATGCAAATTGTAAAAATATATAGTGAAATTCCACTCTTTTGTAGAATGAGGACTATTTATTTGGTTGGCACTTCAGTAATGAGCTTTCCCAAATATTATTATTGCTCTTGCTTGATTCCAATTTGAAATATCCAAGCATGTACTGATGCCCACAGCATCTTTATAGAACTACCACCATGCTCATGTGTAGTAACTGATTTTATTAATATGAGGCAGTATGAGCCTATGACACACAAATCCTATTTCAACCTTAGTTAAAATCTAGCTTGAGACAGAGAGCTTTAAATTGCAGTATCTTATAATTGAGATAGATTTTGGTGTTGTAGAGAAAAGGAAAAAAGAAAAGGAGTACTTGTGGCACCTTAGAGACTAACCAATTTATTTGAGCATGAGCTTTCGTGAGCTACAGCTCACTTCATCGGATGCATACTGTGGAAACTGCAGAAGACATTATATACACAGAGACCATGAAACAATACCTCCTCCCACCCCACTCTCCTGCTGGTAATAGCTTATCTAAAGTGATCATCAAGTTGGGCCATTTCCAGCACAAATCCAGGTTTTCTCACCCTCCGCCCCCCCCCCCCCACACACACACAAACTCACTCTCCTGCTGGTAATAGCCCATCCAAAGTGACCACTCTCTTTAAAATGTGTATGATAATCAAGGTGGGCCATTTCCAGCACAAATCCAGGTTTTCTCACCCCCCCACCCCATACACACACAAACTCACTCTCCTGCTGGTAATAGCTCATCCAAAGTGACCACTCTCCCTACAATGTGCATGATAATTAAGGTGGGCCATTTCCAGCATAAATCCAAGTTTAACCAGAATGTCGGGGGGGTAGAAAAAAACAAGGGGAAATAGGCTACCTTGCATAATGACTTAGCCACTCCCAGTCTCTATTTAAGCCTAAATTAATAGTATCCAATTTGCAAATGAATTCCAATTCAGCAGTTTCTCGCTGGAGTCTGGATTTGAAGTTTTTTTTGTTGTAAGATAGCGACCTTAATGTCTGTGATTGCGTGACCAGAGAGATTGAAGTGTTGTCCGACTGGTTTATGAATGTTAGAATTCTTGACATCTGATTTGTGTCCATTTATTCTTTTACGTAGAGACTGTCCAGTTTGACCAGTGTACATGGCAGAGGGGCATTGCTGGCACATGATGGCATATATCACATTGGTAGATGTGCAGGTGAACGAGCCTCTGATAGTGTAGCTGATGTTATTAGGCCCTTTGATGGTGTCCCCTGAATAGATATGTGGGCACGGTTGGCAACGGGCTTTGTTGCAAGGATAGGTTCCTGGGTTAGTGGTTCTGTTGTGTGGTATGGTGTGTGGTTGCTGGTGAGTATTTGCTTCAGGTTGGGGGGCTGTCTGTAGGCAAGGACTGGCCTGTCTCCCAAGATTTGTGAGAGTGTTGGGTCATCCTTCAGGATAGGTTGTAGATCCTTAATAATGCGTTGGAGGGGTTTTAGTTGGGGGCTGAAGGTGACGGCTAGTGGCGTTCTGTTATTTTCTTTGTTAGGCCTGTCCTGTAGTAGGTGACTTCTGGGAACTCTTCTGGCTCTATCAATCTGTTTCTTCACTTTCGCAGGTGGGTATTGTAGTTGTAAGAATGCTTGACAGAGATCTTGCAGGTGTTTGTCTCTGTCTGAGGGGTTGGAGGAAATGCGGTTGTATCGCAGAGCTTGGCTGTAGACGATGGATCGCGTGGTGTGGTCAGGGTGAAAGCTGGAGGCATGTAGGTAGGAATAGCGGTCAGTAGGTTTCCGGTATAGGGTGGTGTTTATGTGACCATTGTTTATTAGCACTGTAGTGTCCAGGAAGTGGATCTTTTGTATGGACTGGACCAGGCTGAGGTTGATGGTGGGATGGAAATTGTTGAAATCATGGTGGAATTCCTCAAGGGCTTCTTTTCCATGGGTCCAGATGATGAAGATGTCATCAATATAGCGCAAGTAGAGTAGGGGCGTTAGGGGACGAGAGCTGAGGAAGCGTTGTTCTAAGTCAGCCATAAAAATGTTGGCATACTGTGGGGCCATGCGGGTACCCATAGCAGTGCTGCTGATCTGAAGGTATACATTGTCCCCAAATGTAAAATAGTTATGGGTAAGGACAAAGTCACAAAGTTCAGCCACCAGGTTAACCGTGACATTATCGGGGATAGTGTTCTTGACGGCTTGTAGTCCATCTTTGTGTGGAATGTTGGTGTAGAGGGCTTCTACATCCATAGTGGCCAGGATGGTGTTATCAGGAAGATCACCGATGGATTGTAGTTTCCTCAGGAAGTCAGTGGTGTCTCGAAGGTAGCTGGGAGTGCTGGTAGTGTAGGGCCTGAGGAGGGAGTCTACATAGCCAGGCAATCCTGCTGTCAGGCTGCCAATGCCTGAGATGATGGGGCGCCCAGGATTTCCAGGTTTATGGATCTTGGGTAGTAGATAGAATATCCCAGGTCGGGGTTCCAGAGAAAAGGAAGTTCATCCTCAACACTTTTTCCTCTTGCCTTTCACTGCTGCTACACAGCATGGTCCGGTAACATTTAACAGAGATCCTGGGATGACGTATCTCTGGTATGTTCAGAAACATAGCAAATGATGCTGGTTTGATCTTTCTTAGGAAAAAAGAAAGGAAGAATTCAGTCCTATACATTTGTACAAACTGCTGAGATGAACATCTGACATGGAAACAAATGTTACAAATCACAAAACAACCCTGTTTTTCAAGGCGTTGGTTGTACACAGGTGCATGGGTGATGTGTGGGTGTCTTGTACTAAAGCTGCAAGCGCTTACAATCTTGCTGTGGAGAAAACATTGGTAGCTTTCTGCCTGCTTTCTTAAATTACTCCTTAGCTTCTCCAGACACACTTCTGACAACCCATTGAAGTGTATGGTTTAAAAGACTAAAATGAGAGTTCACCTATGAACGTTAGCAATTGCGTTCAAATAGCCATAGAAATTTTAAGAGCGAATCTGTAACAGATATTCATTTTAAGGTTCCAGTGAAAACACAGAACTGGACAAACATATTAATTTTGCTTTTGTAAAATTGCAAGCTAGTGCAGTTTTTGCTTCTTTTATAATGAAAAATGTTTTACATAAAAGATTTTATTTGATCATGTGTAAGTATTACTCTTGTATGTTAATATGGTGTGACTTTTTATAGCTAGTGTGTACAATGTTATTTTAATAAATACCTTTCACATTATTAAGTATACTGTACACTAACAGAAGACTAGTCTGTACTAATTTTTTTGGTTTTTGCAACTTAACATGCAAATATTTAAAATTCACACAGGTGCACTTCAGTTTATTTACAGAATAGATAATTTTTTATAATGGCACTTTCTTACAGCGCTCCCGCAGTCTGTTCCCACAAGCAAATAACACAGTGACACACTGATATGCATATATATACATATGTTGAGATGAATGTATATTTTAAAATGTTAGTATATGTACGTGCATTTCAGAATCTTTGCTTCATTTTGTATTTCTAGCTGTAACAGTGCCACAAGAATTTCTGCAGTCTGTAGTTTTTATGGTAAATTGTCCTTCTACTCAAAGTGGATAACATTCCTTATGCTGATTGTGGGGAGGGGAATATAGATTAATCTAAATAGATAGCGGAGCACTGCCGATCTGCAAAATCATGTGTAAGAGCTAAGGAATTAGTTCCATGTAGAGAGGTATGCGTTAAATATATGTATTTTTAAAACTTACAGTGGACTTCTGTTCAGGTCAGAGTTCATTAGCCTTACAGTGTCTCTGATCCTGTACAATTGAGGTCCATAGGAATATTGCCATTGACTCCAATGGGAGTAGGATCAGGAACTTTACTGAGTTGTTAATCTTTTTTCATTTAAATTTTTTAATGAAATGTATCACTCATGCGGTAAAACTTTGTTGCTTTAATTATATGTATTGACCCATTATAAAAAAAGATTGTCTTTTGTAAATAAGGGATATGAAAGTGAAATTGATGTATTGTCTTTTTTAAATTCTTTAGGACATCTGTACAGTTGTATCACATTTTACTTTTCAAGTTTGCTTGACAGGGTCAGTGCTGCTTGCCCATTTAATAAAGCTGGACAGCATCCTAGTCAGCATCTCATTGGTCTTCGGAAAGCTGTTTATCGATCTGTCAGAGCCAACTTTCGAGCTTCAAGACTAGCTACTCTGTACATGCTGAAAAAATATCCTTTTTGTAAAAACCCACAAATGCAGACACTTATGAATGAATTATCTATCCATATAGATGGGATGCTTAATTGTCCTAATGAACAGAGCTGGCACCAGTAGAAACTTGTGGTATCTAGTTAAATATATGTAAGAAGGAAGGGAAAGAGCTGCAAAGTGTCTTTTTTTGAGTTATGCTTGAGATTGCACATTCTTAAAATATTTCACATTTGTGTCATTGTGCAATCTAAGATAAGAGTCCTCTACAATGATTTGCAAACATGTGCCTTTTGTGTGAATATTGATATGTGTGATTCAGTCCTTTCCCTTTCATTATTGCTCTTACCCAGCTTTATTTCCCTCCTTCCAAAATAACTTTTGTCTCAACTACCTGCCCTCTCATTTTGTGTCTCCATTGCCATATGTAGTCTCCAGGTTAAAGGGTAAGTGATTTCCTATTTCATGAAAGCTGAATGGCACTGATGCAACATAGGTTAGTCAAGAGGCACACTGAACAGTGAGGATTTTCTACTTCCAAAATCAAATGCGGCACTTCTCACAACCAATTCAAACTCTGTTTGCCAAAGCGTGAACCCATATTCCATTGAAAAAATAGCAGTAGGGTTACTTGATGGCTGTGCTATATCTGTGCCATAGTTGGGAAAAATGTCAGAAATGCCAATGTATTGCATTCAAATATATTTGATTATATTTCTACCTCCCCAGAAAAATCCCAAGCTTGGAAACAAATGTGTATGGTAACACTGTGAGAATCTGTCATTACCAATTATTATATTTTCCTGGAATATGTGGTTTGGTTAATATTGATAGCACTCCTGCATATGTGTGTGTGTTTGTGTAACAGGTGTCGGGATACTCCAGTTCAAAGGAAATAAGTGTTTGTTCGTGGATCATTTATCTAGGGATGTGAATCCTGCTTTTGTGCTCAAGACATCACTGATTCATATCCTGAGATAGCCCTGGAGAATAGATTTATTTTCTGTATATGGGAAGGGAAATGTAACCAGTCGTATCCGGAGTGACTGAAACAATTTTATAAAAGTAACTTCAAACTCTGGATTGGATATAACCAGAATAACTTTAGGGAGTGGGGAAGAGAGCTGAAAATGGGAACAATACATGTGGTCTTCTCAGAGATCCTTCTGTACCAGAGTGTAAAAAAAGTATGCTCAGTATTAGATACTAACTGGTGTAAAGATCAATGGGGTGGGAGAGAGGGTTACCTTCTACAGAACTGTTTTGGTTTGGATTAGACTGGATCCACTTCTGCAGAAGGGTTGCCGCCCTCTTAGCTTCAAAACTGGAAAAGGTGGTTGAGTAAGCTTTATATTAGGAAATGAGGAAGAAGGAGATCTTTTGTTTAACTCAGAAGATTTGGCATTTACTTTTGCCTTACTTTGTATGGTTTTAAGATGGAGTTTGTCCGGTAACAAAAGATGAATAGATGGCACAGCCATGGAAATCATTAGCGAAAAGCTGGACAAAATAAGTGGGTTTTGAGGAAGGATTTGAAGGCGGTGTGTAGGGATGCTTGACACACAGGATAAGGGATATTTTGGGCCAAGGGAGCAGCGTGGGAAAAGCACAAAGTTAGAGTGCAGGGAGCACAGACAGCATGTAGGTCATAGGAGTTGAGATTTAGGAGCAGTTGGATCTGTGCAATGTATGAAAAGTGAGAATAAGAGGGTTGATTTTAGCGGGGGAGTTAACACCTACCAGGATAATTTAAAGAAGCCTGAGGATTGTCCCAAGTTACTCTGGCTTGCAATAGACCCTACTGGCTGTTGTGTCATCCGGGGATTGCTTGAATGTAGCGCATTCCAACCACAGCCTTCCCTGCCCTTTTCACTCCTCCAGTATTGGGGAGTACATAGAGCTGTCTTCATCAGCCAAGGGTTTCCTCTTATTATGGGATTTTCAGCTGCTTACTTAGGACAGCTTTAAGGGGCCTTTTGTGCCACCAGAGTGGCCCACAGCAGAGAAAGGAAAGATTTAGAGGAGCTTGACTGTGTATAATTAGGGAATGATGTGATGAAATTAAGGAAAGGAATTTCCGCTGAATATTAGGAAAAGTTGAAATCCAGATTTTTACTGCTACAAAGAACAAAAGTGGGGTTTTAAAAAAAATTTCCTACAGAAAATCAGACCGTGCATTACTCTGTAGTGCCTATAGGCTGTCCGAGTATGATTTAATCCGTATTTAAAGGTGTTTATTGTGAGCACTGTGAAAGACAGGAACTTAGTAGTACTATTGATGCAATATTTACACCACTTATAGCAATCTAATGTTCTTTTTCTTAGAAAAACATGCTTAACCTTTGGCATAAAGTTTCAAAAGATCATTGAAATGAAATTTAGTTTTTCTGTTTTTTCTCAAATGTCCTCAGAAGAAACTGCTAACTCTACTTGAATAAACTTTTTTTATTGCACTGGATGTACTACTTCTGCATTTTGTTGCCAGATCAAGAGTATATCTCTGTGTCAAAGCAGGGGAAAAACTGAATCCATTTTGTTCAGTACAGCATTCTGAAATTTTAATGTGTGAGAAATGCCTCTGGTTTTAAAAGAAAGTGAAACTCAGCACTCCAGCTAATATAGTTAAGCTAAAAGTTTAATTCCATTTTATTTGGTGACTGGTCCTCCTACTGGATTCTCTACCTGTGAGTCCTCTTTATCTTTGAAGAAGGACACTTTATCTTGATAACAGTGTGAATATAATAAATAAAACTTACTGTCTCATAGAGTTAATGATAGTATGTTGAAATGCTGTCAACTAACTGCCTGCAGTACTGAAGGAGTGACTCATTTTGTTAGTGATAAAATTTAAAAGAGGGAGCAGATCCTCATGTGGTGTAAATATTCACAGCTTCATTCATTTTAATTACATGTCCATTTACAGTTGCTGAGGTTCTGGCCTATAAAAGAGATAAAATCTGCATTGATGTAACACTGACATTTTGTGACACTGTTCAAAACACAATTTTGAACGCTTGTGTCAGGAAATATAAAATTTAGAGTTCTTTCAGTAACCTTGGCTTACTCTCATTGCTCACTGAGATGTTGTATTTTTGACCACTAATGTTGTTATGTTGACACATAATATACTTGATATATTTGATTCATGTCTATGATCAGATATATGTGCATAATTTGCATTCATTTCAGTAAGAGTGGCCATATCTGAATACAAATTTGTCATGGTATATATGCAGCATGGCTGCTTTAAATTGTAGGCACTCTATTTTTATATAAATAAAAAGTAGAGAGCAGTTCTCAAACAGAAATATTATAGAAGAGGCATGGCTGAAAGGAGTGTTTCAGAGGAGCTCAACTAACAACATGACTGATAGATTTTTTTTTTTTTTTTTTTGTGGCTATTTGAAAAGTATGAATGAATCCTGGGGCGATAGATGAGTAGACAAAGAGCTGCGGTTTGCATAAAGGTGAATAATTAAATATATCCCACACCTATGTAGTTTATCGCATGGCTGTCACCTTCTCAGACATTTCTGGTATGTATTATTCAATGTGCACACCCCCTACCGCCCCAAATGTTGTGCAAGTTAGGGTCTCTTGGAGGCCCCCCCCCCCCAAAAGCACCTTATGGGGACCAGAAACAGATCTGGCTGTGACAGACCAAACAGCATATTGTAGACACTTGTCTTATTTGTATCCTAATGTTATTGCAGTCTTTGTGATAGGATTAAATTCCTTTGGATATTCCTGTGACGCCCACATGATGATATTACAGGGTGTTAAAAAAAGTTAATACATAGCTTTGCTCATAGCAGCACAGATTGTGTACACCTGCTCCTGTGTCATTATTCAGTCAGATTAGACTGGAGATTTAGCAACATATACCTAAGGCTAACATGTCAAAGCTTACAACTCCCTTCATTAACATTGTATTTATTAGTGCAAATAAATTAATCTCTAAATAATTAAAATTTGCTGTGGCATAAAATATAACTGTGTTAAGCAGTGTTAAATTTTAATTTAAAATGTAAGAAGAATTATTGCTTATGTGAAGCTTTGATATTGGATTTGATGGACCAGTAACTTTTTCTGAGATGGAAAATCTTCCACCCGTATTCTGTACTTATTATGTTAAATGTCAGTCTTGCATTGTGGGAACAATGTATAACGGCATCCTGTCACATCTTTCTTTTTCAAAGCTGAGTCATTCATAACAAAGGGTACACTACTTCCACAAGGGTACTTTCTCAATAATAGAAGCAAATACCTGCATGTGGAGAAAGTTTCTCTTTACTCGGAAAAAGGGATTTCTCCCTCGCTCGACATCTATAAGGATTGCATCTGCACCATTGAAGTCAGTGGGATTTTCCACTTATTTCAGTGAGTGCAGGATTAAGATTGGATGGGTGACATTTTATGACCTCTCTTACGCAGGAGGTCAAACTACACAATTGTAAATGGTCCTTCTTGCCTTAAAATTCTTTGGGCCATATCTTCAGCTGATGTAAATGAGTGTAGTGCTACTGAGTTCAGTGGAGCTGTACCAGTTTACACCCTCCACGGAGCTGGCCATGTGAATCTCTGAAACTTTCATTTTACTATAAATGGGAGAAATCCTTCTCTTGTGACAAAATGCAAACAATTCAGTAGCAAAAGAGAAGGTGTTGTCTAGCTGCTAAGTGCAAGACATCTGGCTTTTTATTTCTAACTTTGTCATAAACTTGCTGTATGACTGTGGAGCAAGTCTCTTAATGTCTTTTTACTTCAGTTTTACCTGTAAAAGTGTGGTAACATTTACCTATCTGACATGGATGTTGTGAAGTTTAATTCCTGAAAGTTTGTAAGGTTGTTTGACATTCTGGGATGCTAAGTGCTACCAAAGTGCAGGTTTTGTTCGTTATTTGTTACCATATTGTTAACTGTCTACTGTTGGCAAATACACTTCTGTACAAGTCTATCAGTGGGGCAGATGTCTAGGTTACATACAGACCGACATTGCCAGCAGTGTCATGTGTGCAAT